GCTCCCCACCCCCATCCCTAACCCCCTGGGTTCAAGCTTTTCCCCTGCCTCAGCCCCACAAATCGCTAGGACCTCACACTGGTGCCAGCACACCTGGCTCATGTTTGTATTTTAAGTAGAGACAGGGTTTTGTCATCTTGCCCAGGCTGGTGTTGAGCTTCTGAGCTCAGGCGATCCGCCTGCCCGGGCCTCCCAAAGTACTGGGATTACAGGTGTGAGCCACTGTGCCCAGCCCACTTTATTTCTTCAGCCTTGTTTTTTTTTGTTTTTTCTCTTGGATTTCTTGTACGCGTTAGATTGTCTGACATTGTTCCACAGCTCTTCAAAGCCCTTCTGTTTTTTTCTCTCTCCATTTTAGTTTTAGGTAACTTATATTGGCCTTTAAAATTACTCACCAGTTCTTCTTCCTTGTTGAGTATACTTATGTGCCAGTCTAAGGCATTTATCTATGGTACTGTTTGTTTCTGGCATTTACACTGATGTTCTTGAAATTCTCTGGTCTGTAGCACAACATTTCAGTCATCTCTGAATGTGCTTCTGTTGATGTTTTTCTCTCTTGACGGTGGATTCAGATTTCTCTAGTACAAGACTTTTCAACCTCAGTATTTTTGATGTTTTGGGCCAAATAATTTTGGGGGGCAAGAAGTGGCTTCTCTGTTCATTGTCTGGTGCTGAGCAGCATCTCTGGCCTCTATCCACTGTTGTGACGGCCATAAATGTTTCATCTGTGCCCCAGGCCATAAGGTCCGCTTGCCCTCCCAGCCAGCCACATTGTTCGGCAAGACAGAGGGAGCCATGCAGGCCTGGCACCAAGGGGGCTTCTCCTGGTCCCCACCTTCCCTTATCTCCTGTGAGCACCCAGGAGTGAAACAAGGAGAAGAGCCAGCAGTGGGGCCAGCTCCCTGAGGCTGCCACTCCCAGGCTGTGTCCTGCTGCGGGGCACTCACAGCTGCCTTGTGCCTTTCCTTTCTGGAGTGACTTTGTTTTGGTTGCTTTCCTTAGAGTTAATAATTGCCTTTTTATTTTTTGTTTTCTGTGTACTTGTTATCAACTCATTCCCAAGCTCATGGAATTGCACATTTTTGTATATTCAGACGCGCCAAGTTGCTGGAGCATGCATTTTCTGTTTACTCTTGTCTTGGTGGTGCATAACGTTTAGTTCTTAAGACACGTTGCTCAGGATAACTGTTTTGAGCTTTTCAGTTCTGAAATGTTCTCTCTCACGTAACGGACACCGTGGCCCTCCGGTTCTCCCCTCAGAGCTGCCTCCATCTTCCCTTTTTTTTTTTTTTTTTTTTTTTTTTTTTTTTTTTTTGAGACTGAGTCTCACCCTGTTGCCCAGGGTAGAGTGGAGTGGCGTGATCTCTCCTCACTGCAACCTCTGCCTCCTGGGTCTAAGTGATTCCTGTGACTCAGCCTTCCAAGTAGCTGGGATTGCAGGCGCTCACCACCATGCCCAGCTAATTTTTTTGCATTTTAGTAGAGACAGGGTTTCACCATGTTGGCCAGGCTGATCTCACACTCCTGACCTCAGGTGATCTGCCCACCTCAGGTCTATGGCGTGAGCCATCATGCCCGGCCATCTCCCATGTCTTTGAGTGTACTCGTGCTCTGTCTCTCACAGCTCTGCTCCACCTACACACCTCTCTGCTCCTCAGCGTCCCAGCCGTGCTGGTTGCCTTTAGTCTTTGTATTTCGTCTTAGCTCACCACATGTGAGCCCTTTGCTGGACGATGTGGTCTTAGCAAGGAGACGGGGTGCCAGGGCGCCTTGCCTGCAGCAGTGCTGTTTCCACCATTGGACTTTCTCTGCCCATGCTTGCTGGGGCAGCATGGGGCAGACAGGGTGCCGCTGGGCAGGAAGGGAGGGTCCCCATCTGCAGACCTGAGCTGCACTGCAGAATAGCGGGGACGAGTCACAGGTGATCCAGACATGAAGGCTTTTGTATCTCACCCAGGAGCAGGGCCCTCAATGGATCCTGGATCTCATTTAAGCCATATCCAAGGAAGAGGAAGAAGAGTAGGGCATTCCCACAGCTGATAAAAGTCCAGCCCAGGACAGCTCACACCCCCGTGCCCTAAAAAGCCCACCATGCAGAGCCTGTGGGCACTGGGTATTAGATGGTGCTGAGAAAGTGCTACCTGTGTTCTGTGTGATCAAGGTTCTAAGGTTATATGGAGCATGATTTGTTAGCAATGTATGTGGAGTGAGTTATGGCTAAAATGAGATCATTTTACCCCTAGATACTTTAATAAATATTCCAGCACACCCCTCCAAGCACAAAAGGTTATAGGGGATGTCTTGAACAAGAATGGAAAATATTGGTGATTTTTGAAATAAGGCACAGGCACGTGGGGATATGTTTTTGTCTCTATTTTTGAAAGTTTTCATTTTTCTTTTGTCTCTATTTTTGAAAGTTTTCTTTTCTTTTTTTCTTTTCTTTTCTTTTTTTTTTTTTTAACGCGATAGAGTCTTGCTCTGTTGCCAGGGTGGAGTGCAGTGGTGTGATCTCAGGTCACTGCAACCTCTGCCTCCTGGGTTTGAGCAATTCTCCTGCCTCGGCTTCCCAAGTAGCTGGGACTACAGCCGCGTGCCACCACACTTGGCTTATTTTTGTATTTTTAGTAGAGACGGGTTTCACCTTATGGGTCAGGCTGGTCTTGAACTCTTGACCTTGTGATTCTCCCTCCTTGGCCTCCCAAAGTGCTGGGATTACAGGCATGAGCCACCGCGCCTGGCCTGAAAGTTTTCTTAATAGAATATTTAATAAAACAGTGAGACACTAAAAAAACAAGAAACCCTTTTGTAGCAGTGGGTTTGTGTGGAGAGTGAGCTCTGTGGCCACCTCTGCAGAGGGTGACCCCTTGCCTGCACCAGCTGGGGTGCCTGGCTGCACTTGGACCTCATCTGAGGCTCCAACTCACCTGCTCCGTGTTTACACCAGCTCAGCCCCTGTCTCTGGAGCTGGCCCCATTCTTTAGCCTTTCCAGGGCTCTGCTGGTGTGGACCTGCCTGCAGACAAGTAGGTTTGGGTTATCTCTAATTTGGCAAGTCAGCGCCTGTTTCAGCTGCTTTCTTTCCTGAGAGCACCGCCCCAGCGGTGGGCTCCTTTCTTGTTCTGTTTTGTCGCTCAGCACCCGTCAGCCGTTCGTGAATCCTGTGCCCTGACCTGGCAGAGTTGGGGTGCCCCTCTTACCCATGGTGACCTCAGTGGGACCACCCCAATGCCTTTTTGTTTTTCCCACCTTGTTAATGGATTCTTTATCTCTTTTTTTCTCAACCCTAACTAGATCCCATTGTTGTTTATTTGACGTTTCCTTCCCAGAACATCTTCCTTACGCTGTCCTGCCATTCTTCCTGGCCCCCCGGCCCCCCAACTCTATTCACTGTTTCCGTGTTACACAGTACAGAGCCAAAATCATACAGCATTATCATTTTTTATGATTGTGTAAATAATGCCTGCTGATTGTAAAATAATCCAGATATGTGTGAAGAAGAGAGTACAAATCACTTCTTATTCCAAATGTGAGGGAATTGTTCTTAGGATGTTCATATGTCCTTCCAGACTTCTGTGTATATAACCATATTGAATTTTTGAAATAACTTGTTTTTCCTTTAATGTAAACATTTTTCAAAGTCAGTAGCTACAAGTGCTCTGCAGCCTCAGATCCTGACCAGGGGTTCATCACAGAAGCATTTGGTGGTGGTGGTGTGGAGGGGGCACTTCTTCAGGACACACATGGCCTGGTTCCACACCTTTCCGGTCTTGTTCCATAGGCATGGGGTGATGCCCAACTGGCTCTTAAAAAAATCTCCTGGATGATTCTGATGCAGCTTCATTCGGGCATCGGGAAGTCTCTTGCTGGCTTCAGGGTGGACGCCTTCCGCCGCCTGGGCATGCCCTGCGGCTGCTCTTCCGCAGGTGGCATGCTGCCCATTATTCCTTTTCTGTTGTTGCAAAAGCTTGTGCACTTATTCAATTATATCTTCAAGTGGAGTCTCAAAAAGAATGTGTATTTGTAAGCTTTTTGATTCATGTCTCCAAGTTGCTTGCCATGAGGTTTGGACAGAGCTCGCAGTGATGGTGTGTCCATCTCTGCAGACACCGTGGAAACCAGCTTTGCTGTGTGCCAGACCGAATGGGAAGAATGTCAGAGGCCTTTTATGTTGAATTTCTTTGTGTCATTTACTTTGGGGGACATTTGTAGCTCTTCTTTTGTGAACTGCCACTCAATCCTTTGCTTAAGTTTTTGTTGGGCTACTTTTTGTTTTCTTATTGGCTGTTAGAGAACTTTCCTTTTTTTTTTTTTTTTGCATTTGTTCTGCTCAACAGAGAACTTTCCATAGCAAACCAGTAAGGCTTGTCTGGCGCTGCAGAGCACCGTGGCATCTTGGGTGCCCTCAGTGCTTCCACCTCCACAGGCGCCCTCAAGTTCTGGTCTTCTCAGAACCCTCCAGTGACCGTGTCCCAGGCTCTGCGTCCTGCTCCTTGCCCTGTGTGCAGGGTCCTCTGGCTGCCCCAGAACCCTTGGGGCTCCCACAGATTGATTGCACTGTTGCCCAGTGCTGGCCTGTGGTGATCTGGACTGTCCTGCTTGGTGTGTGTTCATGTTCCCTTGACACCCAGCCCAGAACCCCCCTCATCCCAACACCTTCCTTGACTTCTGCCAGAGTTGAGTAGCTGGCCCTCTGATAAGCACATGCTAGTGGATGTGGTCACACCCAGCACGCTGGATCTGCCCTGTGACTGCCGTCTTCTGCTGGTTGTGCAGATGATGGGAGTTTCCTTCTCTGGGCTCCCTGTCTGTCCTCAGTGCTGGTGAGTGTGTGGCAGGGACTCCATAAGTGCTCTCAAAGCCAGGCTGGCTTTGCAGGGCTCGGTTCAGTCAGCTCACACCTGCTGAGCAGCCCCTGTGTGCCTGCACTGCCCAGCGCCTGTGGGGAGGGAATGCCATCCTCTCGTGACTTTGACACTGACTACCAGTCTTGTCTGATTGCAGTTGGGCCGGTGCACAAACAGCGTGGTCAAGTATGAGCTGATGCGTCCATCCAACAAGGCCCCACTCCTTGTGCTGTGTGAAGACCACCGGGGCCGCATGGTGAAGCACCAGTGCTGTCCCGGCTGTGGCTACTTCTGCACAGCGGTAAGAGTGCAGCCTGGCGGCCCGTGTCCTCTGCAAGACTCCTGTTTGGTCACTGGTGCTGGTTCCTGTCCTGTGCACCTGCTGTCGGGTGGTCCAGTGGCATGGCCCAGGTCTGGTGTCCATCTGGAGGTCTCCAGTGTGTCACAAACCCCTCACCCCTGCTCTCAAGCCCCAGAGCCATAGACACCCTCACCCCCAATCCCCACTTCACTCCCCTGGCCTGGAAGCTGCTTTTGGAGATGACTAGGACGGTGTGACCCGGGTTTCTGAGGGTTTCTGAGGCAGTGGGGCTCAAGACTGCTGGTGAGGAACTTGTGACCCACTGGAGAATCCAGATGGAGACTGTACTGAAGACATTCACCCCATGACGAGGCTGTACTGAGGACACCCACCCCATGACGAGGCTGTACTGACACTCACCCCCATGACGAGGCTGTACTGACACTCACCCCCATGACGAGGCTGTACTGAAGACACTGACCCCCATGACGAGGCTGTACTGAAGACGCTCACCCCCATGACGAGGCTGTACTGAGGACACCCACCCCATGACGAGGCTGTACTGACACTCACCCCCATGACGAGGCTGTACTGACACTCACCCCC